TCCCATCCAGCTGCTTGTCTCCTCTGTAAAGGCTCCCTCTGGAAGCAAGGGGACCAGAGAAGAGAGCGGTGCTGCTTCAGAAAGGATGTCCTCGTCCCTGCTGAGAGCAGTGTGGAGGGAGGGAGCCTAAAGCCCCCATCCAGGAAGTGTGGGTACAGAGATACCCTTCCACAGGCTCACGACACACACTTGGTCAGACTGGATTGCACCTTCCCGGGCTCAGGTTAGTCTTTCTGCAAACTTAGGAGGCTGGATTAGATTGAGTTTGCAAACCCAAATGCTCACTGGGGCCAAGTTAATAATAGAAACATCTAGGAATATTCAGTTCCTCTACAAAGAAGGCTCTCTTCTGATTTCTTTAAAACATGCAACTCTCTCATTTTCTGTTTCTAATGGAGCCTTGGAGGCAAACAATCCAAAATAATAAAGACAAAAGTGCCAACGGTGAAGGAAATGGTAACGGGCAGTGGGTCTCAGTGGAGGGGACAAAAGGAGACTGTCGCCCACTCCCTATCTGCAGGGGCAGCTGTGGGATGTCACCTCTTTGTCTACTCAAGTGGCTGACAGAGCATCACCAGTGTGGACACGTAGACCTGGTGTTAGAAGATCTTACGAGCTTTCAAAAGTGGCTGGACACATGAATTTTTATGTGAAATCTCCCAATTTTTAAAATGTTGGCTCAGATTTTTCTTAAACAGAGGGAGGGCCAAATACAACATGTTCTGAACCGTGATCCGCCAGTCTGTAATCTCTGGAGGTGTTTTTAAAGCTCCTTTTCTGCTGGAACATTCTGTGGAGGGACAAGTGAAGAGAGGAGGAGGGCGGGAAGGAAGGAAGGATGGCAGGAGCCGCAGGGGAATCTCTCTGAGACCTGGCTTGTCCTCTGCTGAGCCTCTGAATCTCTGCCGGTTCAGCAGAAAGAAGGGGAAGAGGGAGGGGAAGGCCTGGCCTTTCCAGGCTGTAAGGCTTTGTTTAGTAAACCATCCTTTCCTCTAGCTTTCAGCTCTCCTTTGGGAGAAGCATAATGGCCCCAGGCCTCAAGAGTGTCTGAACAGGTCTGAACAGGATGCTCCGGTCTGTGGTTGGAGGGGCGGTGCCCCGCCTCCCAGGGCTGGTGGACGGAGGGGAGGAGAAAGGAGACTGGGCATCCTCGGCCAGAGGCAGGCCCTGGGCTTCGGCCTCAGGCTGGACTGCCGCCTGCTCCCTGGCTTGCTTC